ATAGCTCCTCCATCAACCCCAGCTCGAATGCGAGAATCTTTGGTGGGTTGAGGGATTCTATGTGAAACTCATAACATGCATCTATTGGATTATCTGTATCAGTATTTATATATATATATATATATTATATTTGTCTGTATATGTATTTTATATCTGTCAAAAGCTTTCGACCTATGAACGATTTTATTTGAAATAAACTCATATTATTTTTAGTTATCTTCATATATATATCGGAATTTTTGGCCAATAACATAATGCATGCAGAGTGTATATGCGGAGTGTGTGTGTCTATGCATGCTACTTTGGAAGCACAATCATTTTGCGCAATCATGCTGGCACTCAGTTTAATTGATTTTAAAGTTGCTGCCATGCCAATGCCAGCTAAAGACAAGTTGTGGCAACTTCGCTGCGAGCGAGAGCAGAGCCGAGCCAAAGAAGTCAGGAGTACACAAAAGCAGATGCGGTGGGGATGGGGGGGGGGGAGTAGCACCTGCTGCTAGCTAAGAATTGTAGAGAAGTGGCCGTAAAACAATGGAATGGCATATGCAGCCAGCAAATGCGTAACAGGTTAGAATCCCACAATACTGGAGTATCGTATTGCGACCACCCCCACCCACCCTCCCCCTTAAGACTCACGAAACTTTGTGGCAGACACGGAATTGTGGAAGGTGGAGTTGGGGTGCGACGTAAGGATACGGTTTTTAGTTTTCCGTTTGGTTTGGTTCGGTTCAGTTTCAGTTCTCTGAACGGTTCGGTCAGGCGGCTTTTGAGTGTTTTCCACCTGAGCTCAAACTTAAGTGGCGAAACTTGATTAAACCGCACCCACACGAACGCACACAACCCCACACACACACACACACACACACACACACATACACAGAGACGCATACAAACATCGAAAAGTTTTGACTTGCAGCAATAGTCGGTAGACACAGGAGGATGCATGGGGAGGGCGGGGGTGGTGAGCTGTTGGCAGGGCTTAAGTTGTGGTTTTGCTTCCAATGACAAAAAGTGAACTTCTCTCATCGTTTTTATGATGCACAATAGCCACAATTGCAACAATAACTATTCACAATATACCCTGTAATTTTATGCATGTCTAGAATGGGGTATATGCTGTAAGCTACCACATTTAAGTGGTAGATAGTACTAATAACTCTGTACCTGTACCTCTATACCTTTTATGTGCTTTCTGACTGTTAAGCAAAGTTTAAATGTTGATCATTTTTACTCGCTAAAAATGATTAATTTTAGCTTGAACAACAACATATAATTTATATATTTATTTTCATAAATTATACATTTATTTTTATAAAAAAATCTCGCAAATTTAGCTTAAGTATCGAAGTGTAAAAAACTTGTTATAAAATAGACAAAAAATTAAATTTATGTTACAAAGTTTGAATTGATCGCTTCACGAATATTCCATATAAATTTAGATAAGTCAAGTTTCGTTGTTTGATAACTCAAAAGGACTCCAGTGGCAGATCTAAGGCATATTCCTGTTGTTGCGGCAGCCAAAAAACGGTTGCACTTCCAGCTAACTCCGACTCAGTTCCACTCTCAAACTGAGGACCTGTTGGTGGCAGATACGCATTCGATGGTAACTGAACTGCACAAACTGTGCTCACAACCAGCCAGTTGAATGAAAAGAACAACAACAACAAATTGAAAAGCAGCTGCATTGTAAGTGGCGTCACAAAAGTCCAAAGTAGAACCTATGAAGAACTAGTTGACTGCTGCAGGCCAAGCAGTTGCTTTTATAGCAAAATATTGGCACCTGGTTGGGTTCCAATCAGAGATCGCGTGTGAGATTGCCTGGCAAAGCTGTCGCATCAACATGCCAAAAAAAAACCAAGGCCAAGTCGAGATTCTTTTCATTAAAGCCAAGCAATTGAAATTGCAAATTAGGCTCGTTATACCCAGTAATTATTAATTATATTAAAGTAGGGCAACTGTGTGTGGGAAGAAATTATCAAAGTCGATTTTTATTTCAATAAAGTTGCTTATTATTACAGTTTATTTTGCATTTGATTTTTGTATCCCCAAATTATACATCATTTTACAGCAGCTGTTCATGTTATATTATTGTATAACTGCCAGTCGGTCAATCTTTTGAATGGTGATAAATTTGAATACTGGTTTACAGCCAGACTGAATACAGGGTATCTCACTGGTGAGTATTGGCTTCACTGCCCATTGTAATTGACACAGTTTTTGGCAACTCATTTGCCATGTAGTTGAAATGATCTCATCTTGAGCCCACATCGATCTCTCAGCTGGCAGCTGACTTTGGAATACTGTTAGCCGTCATCAACTGCATCAATAACAAATTTCCCAGTTTATTTTTGCTCTGTTCTCAATTATTGGCAGCTCTTATACGCAGCCGACACGGGTTAAGGACTCGGCCGCTCGTCGCTCGTTTAACGCATGCGCATCGCGGCATTCTGAAGCCGACGAATTGCAGCGTTTCCCGCCAAAAGCCGCTTGCTGTGCCAAACGGGCAGAGGGGCGCGCGTTGGGGAAGAGGGTGGGTGGTGGGCAGGGGGGTGGAGCAATATGTGGTGTGCGTAGCTCTGTTTTTGTTTACCTTTGTTATCAGCGCTTATCAGCAGCTCTGACACCACACTGACGTCCAGCCGTTTGAAGTGTGTGCCCATTGGTGGGAATCTTATACGCTGACGACAGCTTGTTCGCTGGAAGTGTAAATTGGGGATGCATGTCATGGGAAGGTGCCAGCAGTTCAAGTAGCCAGCTCTATCGAAACTCTCTGAATAAATGTATCTGCACTCATACACTCAGAAAAAAAAAATTAATATCCCCCTAATACATAAAGTTATTCTTGTTTCGCGAAACAATTTCAAAATATAAGAAACGTTTATTCTTAACATTGGAAAAGCTTGAAATAGTTTCTGTTATTATGAAATGATTGTTGGAAAAATTCCATTCTGAAATTAAAAAAATAGTAATTAAATTTGGTCCATCGGCTGCTTTATTAGAGGTTAGCTGATGTTTAATTTTCAGTCCGCGTAGCTCAATATAAACTATGTTACTATGTTTGTGAAATCCTTGAATACCAATGTTTAATAATAATATCAGTTACTAAAACGAACTCTTCTATGTACACACATTGAAAACAATTTCAATTTTATAAGTTTTCTTTTCTTTTTTCTAACAGGCAATAATATGCTTAACTGCATTTCACTGGTTAACATTTCTGTCATTTGAAATAAATTAATTGTTTGGCGATCAAGTTAAGTTTATTCTAGCCGAGACTCATCTCAAAGCAAACCGATTGTTACTTCCAATGGATATTATGGATATTATCCTAACAATAGTCCTCTATTTAAAGCTCTTCACACAGACATTCATTATTTGCCGAGGCTTGACAGCAAAATTGCAATTTGCTTAGCTCCTCAGTCGGAATTAAATATTTAATTATATCCAACCTGTGACATAAATGTATTCATATCGAGACCTAAGACTTAAGGCTTATAGCTAAATTTATTTTAATGATATGCAGATATCATATGCAGATATTTGTATCGAGAATCAATGTGTATCATTATTCCTGAAAAGGGGAGTGTTATCGATAAAATAAAATAAACTTGATCTGCGCGTGGTTTACAAGATGTAATATTCTATATTCGATGTTTCCAACTCTTATGGTATTTAAGATCCTTTTCTTCAGACAGCCATATAGACAGACTCGACAGAATTGACTCGGCTTTTGGTTCTGATCAACAATATATAAATATATTATATGAGGTTTGAGATGTGTCATTCTGATGAGAGATGTATTATTATTATCGAAATAATATTTTTTTCCGGCTTAAATACATCTATGTGCACAGTTTAAATAGGGTTTGGACATGGTTTGGATTGTATTGGCAACTTTATTCCGTAGTTGGGGTCTATGTAGACATGTCTAGCAATCAGTGTGGATCCCACTTGCTTTCCCCACTTCCGGTGCTGCTCTGTTCTGCATGTGGTAAAAACACATATCGTACATTGTGTGCAACACGATGACAACATTTGTTGCTTGCAACCATTTGAGGCGAGGGGAACAGTTGCCAGTTGCCAGTTGCCAGTTGCCAGTTGCCAGTTGCGAGTTGCAAGTTGGTCATCATCGTTCCACTGACTCAATGACTGCCTGACTGCCCGCTTTCCGTCTGCTGTGACCCGCAACACTTCCGGCATTTAAGCAAACAAAATATGTAGCAAGCAGCAGCAGATGAACATTGCAACAAACTGCATGCTACGCAGCCAGCACAACCCAAAGACCCCATAGACATCGCCTGCGAACAGTTGTCGCATTTGTGTGTGCCACTTGTGCTCGTTGCTCTGTGCCTTGCCACATGCCACATGCCCCACATGTGTAGGCGGAAAATGCGGCCATGTAGGCTAATGAGTTCGTTTTATGTCCGACCCGTGTTTTTGCTTTTGTTTTTGTTTTTGTTTTTGTTTTTGTTTTCGTTTCTGTTCTTCTTTCTCTCCTCTCAAATTGTTGTTCTTGTTGTTGGTTAACGAGGCCACCGCATTCTGTGGCACGTTGGTCCTGCTCCCCAGTCCCCAGTCCCCAGACCCCAGTCCCCAACAAGAAATGCTCGCGGCAGTGTCATAATGAAAATGTGAACGACAAACAAGTCTTCGGTATTTGGGGAACAACCCTTAAATATCAATGACACTAAAAACTAATCATAGCTGGCAGGACAGTTGACTGCTCGAGGCATGAGCCTCAAGCTTCTGGTCCTGGAGACGGAAACAGAAACGCACCGATAACTAACCAATCAACCAATATTAGGTGCTCCGTATATATAAGCGAGCATCCTGTGGCAAGTTACAGCTACAAACTGAAGATATAAGTCTTGCCAAAATGCCATTTAGCGAGACAGATAAATGAAGTCAGTGATCTATATATTTATATATATGTATATATTTCAGGGTGCATATAAATGTAATTGAGTGACCAATATATTTGTAGCTTCAATAAAAAAATGTCAAACAAAGAAACGCCTAAGCCAGGGCACAGACCTGCTCATTAGCTCGAGGAGAAAAACAAGGAACGCGGCGATTATCACCAGATAGCAAACTGTAAAGGTGCCGCAGAACATCTCGATCGTCAGCTGAGGGATTGAGTTATGAATGTAGGCTGAGTGGAACATGCGTCTCTCAAAGAATCGAGTGAGGTAACTCACAATGCCCGCCGACTGTAGTTGCTTCAGTTTGCGATCGAAGGGGAACTTGTAGATGGAATGCCGGCGCAGAAACATGACCAACTGATGCAGATAGATGTGCTCCCGCACATGGGTCAAATGGCTGTTGCGCCAGTTCATGGAATTATAATGGGCCAGATTACCCAGCAATGCGCTGGTGATCAGCCGGTCACCATTTGCGGCCGTTGACATCTCCTTGAAGCGCTGCTCAACATTGGACTCGCTCAGCAGCGTACGATTCGCCGGAAAATAGTCGACATAACGTTTGGCCAAATACAGATAATCCCCATCGAGCAGTTGTGTAATGCGCTCAGGCACTGGTGGCGAATACGGTAGTCGGAATACATCGTACAGTTTGCCCTGGTAGGCGGCACGCTGCACCAGGGCGAGCAGGAGCCAGGCGCCCAGATAGCCACGCAGAATGGTTGCCCGGGGCAAAGATGGCGCCGCCAACGGATTACCGAGCAGTGTGGTGTGCACATGCAGGACACTCGCTGCCACATCGAAGTGAACGCTCCACATCCGCCTCCCGCGATGATACGCCCACTGGAGGAGAACAGCCAAGAGGCAGCTGAGGATTAGTGCTAGCCACACAATTGGACAAAAGGGCTGCACCAGTTGATTGAGTGCACCCAGGTAGTGATCGATGCGTAAAACAAATACCAAGGCAGTCTGATGATACGAATGGGTCGTGGAGAAGAACTCCCGATACAGATGAGAGGCGCTGTGGGCGCCAATGGCCACCGAGGAGTTTCTCGCGCTCAGCTGCTGAAAGCAGTCGAAGGTGCACGGTGCCAGCAGATATATTCGGAATCCTAAGATTTCCGCCAGCATTTTGAGCAGCTCGCCGTCAATGCCAGTGAGACGCCAGGTCTCTAATCGCTGCTGGGGATCCTCGGAATCTCCTTCAAAGATTACGTATGGCGGCAGTGGATACCAGCTCACATTCAACGGACAGCCTTTTAGGCTGCTCAACGGTCGATCAAAGATTAGCATTTCATCCAACATCTGGCCATGGTCATAGCGATTAACAATCTGCGGCTTTAACGAGATGTCGCAACCGGGTGAGTAGGAGCGAAACCCGTAGAAGAGCACCACATCATCCAGTTCGGACTGAACCATGATCACAACCTTGAGGACATTGAAACGGAGGCATGTCTCAAAGATGTCGCGCAGTGCCGCCTCCAGCACCAGCTCCTTGGCTCTGCGCGTGAGCAATATGAAGAAATGGAATTCCCTGTCGTACTGCGATTGGGCAAAGTCAAAGCGCAGTTCACGAAATGCCAGCGGTGAGTTAACCAGAAACAGTATGTGATTCTGCGGGTTCTCAATGGGTGTGTCATACAACAGCTGAAATGCCGTCTGATCGCCAAGCTGCTGCATCAAATAGGTAATCTCGTTACGATGCTGCCGATGTTTATTGTCCGGGCGACAGAGCTCCACGATATCCAGCGCATTAGAGTACGGAATCACATGCTGCTCGAGCACATACAGGGCGGCATTCATCAGCTCCGACGGACGATACTTGTCGGGCGGCTGCAGTGCACCCAAAGTGACCGACCAAGGTGCCAACAGCAGCAGCAACAGTGTTTGCAGCAACATTCGTTTGTGGCAAGCGAACACCTCGAACTGAACGAAGTTAATCAACTAGCAACTAACAACCGAATGCAACACCAATTCCATTAATTGCATTCATATCAAATCGACTTATCAAAATGAAATATTTGCCCGATTGCCAAAGACCTTAACGCCAAAGGTGCTACACAAAAATTCACTTTTGAAAATGCAGTAAATGAAAATACTTATTCCAGGCATTACTTATATAACTAAAATTAAATTATGAAATAAATAACAAGACTAAACGGTTATCTTAAGGACGCCAAAATCAACCAACCCCGCCGATTGTTCCTATTGCAGCTAGATGATATTGTAATAATAATACGCATATTTGGTAAGTTTGTTCCGATATCTTGATAAGCAAAATATAAAAACTGAAGGACTAATTCGCACAGAAAGAGATAGAAGGAGAGGGAGAGGGAGATATGGCCATTTCGACTCGGTTAGTGATGCTAATCAAGAATATATTCATTTATACTTTATAGGGCTGGAAACGTCTCCTTCAATCCGTGACAAACTTCACTTCTCGACAGGAGTATACAAATTTTCCGTTCCAAATAAACAATCGGTCAGGTCAGAGTCCGTTTCATTAAGTAATGGTTATATTGAGCATGATAACGAATAGGATTAGTTGGTCTACACTTTCACGCTCCTATGCCTATTTGAATGGCATAAATATCAATCAATAAAAATGAGGGTGTTTTCACCTAACAAATCATGATAGTTTGCACGGCTAATTAATGGAATATGTCATCCCAAAAAAAAAATAGCATACCTTCAATTCCACTTCACCGTTTTCCCATCATAATATATATATATATACATATATCTATCTATCATTATTTGTCCTTGAGGTGCGTCGTCGACCTTCGCATTAGCATATTTACATACATACATTATTTATTAGGAACAAGAAAATAAGAAAAAGGAAAAAAACGAAAAGAAATGTCTGATATCATTTCATTAGTTTCATAAATATTTATTCAATTTGCTTCTTGGCTGTTGTCGCTTTTATCCATAATTTATCGAATTGTAAGCTTCAATATTTCCAACGCCTTGTACAACTCTCCTCTCTCTTTCCCACTCTCCCTTTTGGTTCTTCCACTTTCTCCCTCTCTCTTCTCTGTTGCCCATCATCGGCTACAATTTTGCTGACAATTTTCAAATCCAATTGATTTGTGCTGCAGGCCATATACCACAATCCCCCCCCCACGAACTTAGTCTCCCCGACCACCCGCGTAATCCTAACCACCCCTCCACCCCATGCCCCCACAAATACCCATCAGACCTGGCCAGAGTTTGTACAACCGCAATGTGCGTTGTTTATCTTTGTGAATTTATCAACCAAACGAAAGACAAATCATATGAAATCCCCTAATCATAAGTATACGACTACTATATACCCTGTACATACACATAAATACCAAGGCAGACTTATTTCAAGACTTCTCGTCGATTACAAATATTTACAAGGTATCTGGCATGCATGAAAACAAAATGAAGAAATAATAATAACATTTGTGTTTTTGCTCTGCAACTGGCATTTATTTATGTGTTGTGCGTCGTTACATGTATCAATAGATGTTTTTGGCTTGTCGCATTAGTAATGCAAAATTGTATCATGCAGCCAACCACACCTTCCCACTCCCTACTCCAGACTCCAGACTCCAGACTCCAGACTCCTGACTCCCTACTCTCCCTTCTACTACGGTTTATCTCTTCCGCTCTCTGTCTATCGTCCTCCTGCTGCTCTGCCGTTTGTGTCCCTTTTGCATTTTATATTTATCGGAGCTATGTCAACTCACCATCCTATATATATGTATATATATATATAAATATATATTTATATATTTATTCAAATATATATATAAATATACACGTATCATTTGTATTACTCCTGTCAAATGTGGTTTATTTTTGGCTTTCGGACATGACAAGAGCTGATTGCTGTGAGCTTATTAAATCATAATTTTATGGGTGAATAACAATCCAATAATTATTATAAAAACAGTTATCAAATGCAAATTATTTGACTTTTTGGTATGTTGACTTGAATGTTTAAGATCCATCGGAGACAAATCAATGAGTTTCCGACAACAGTTTTCTAAAATTATTTGCCACCTTGGGGTCCAGATATGGTTAACTCAATACAATACTACCAACCCCAAATATATTACGATATTACAGAGATTCTGGTTTTCCATGTCAAGTCGATTTGTTTCGTATTTTTATTCGACTGTCTACGGCTAAAAAGCAAACTCTAATAGGGAGCACCCAATTAACGCAAGACATATAATTTCGCTGCAAAATTAGGCGAAATGCGTAAAGGGGATACAAATACGAAAAGGAGCAAAGAAATTCAAAGAAAAAACTTTCGTCATTTGCTCATTGTTAGGTAAGGCAATTCCCTTTCGCCCCCCATAGTTCCAAACTCCAGCATACTTCTCTGTCCGAAACTCAACCTTGCCGTGTTTAACACGGATTAGCAAAGCTAAATTTAGTCATTGGTTCAATTATTTTGTCTTTAGATGGCAACTTTACAAATATAATATATATAAAATATTAATATACGCAAGATTTGGCAACACCAGAGAAGCATAATGTGTGACAACCCGTGGGAATGACTTCTATCTTCAGACTTTTGCAACTTGCTTGCTGCCATTTCCATTCCATTCTGTATTCTCGCTGCCAAATGGGCACACTTCCACAACAAGCCTCATAATTACCAACCCAAGTTATATACACACTCTCACACACACATCCACACACACACACACACACACACACACGTGCATTTGCATCTGGATTTGTGGGTGAAGGGTGGGAGAACAGTTAAGCAACTTTTTGGTGACTTCATTTTTTGTTGCATACTTTTCCGGGCTGCAGCGGAAAACTTTTAATTTAGCAACTTTTTGACTTGACATATGTTTGAGTATTTGTGTGTGTGTGTGTGTGTGTGTGTGTGTGTGTGTGTGTGTGAGAATCAGTTGGCATCTTATTAAACCAATTACTATAAAAATGTGAAATATGTGAGAAGCCAAAACTTCTGGCCAAAATGCCAATTGCAATACTTGGCAAACGAAAGAATTATGACTGCAATAAACATAAAAAATATACATTTCAACTTCAGACATGTAAATAAAAATTTAACAAGAAACAATGTATATGTTTGGCACGCTGAAAATGATATTTATGTATCATGTGTAGAAAGGAGTTAGTCTGCTGTCATCAGATGTAATCTGTTAATTGTATTTAAATGTTTTCTGTTTCCCTCACATTTGTATAGTTATTGAGGGGGAGAACTATTTAAAAAATGTAAAAGTAACTTTAAAATCATAATTCAACCAATTATTTCAATGGCTCGATTACGATAATAATTGTTTTCACCAAATGTGAGTTTTTGCACAAGACACGTCAAATAAAATTTGAATTCCCTTTACAAGGGTCTTCGTTTCGAATTAATTTGACAAAATATGAAAGTAGCGATAAATTTTAATTATTGCCATTCCAAACTGTAATTCAAAAGCCTTGTTTTACTGGTGTGTGTGTGTGTGTGTGTGTGTGTGTGCTACCAAAACAAACGTCGCTGTCTGCACTTTTTGGCCGCCTTTTGTTTATCAAATGCGCATTTTAATTACGCAACCACAAACAGAAGCATACACACACAGACACACACTATCCCCTATAGTGTTGGGCATGTGCATTCATGCATGTCGCACTGACCACTCCCCCCCCCCCACCCCCCCCTACCCTTTCACCCCTTCCGCTGCATCGATGGTCGGCTAATTTTGCTGGAAACATATCGTTTTGGCAAGCACCGCATTTGCATTTATATGCGCATATCCTTTGTGCCCAAAGGATATTACATTTTTCCACTTGAAGCATTTTTCGTGCATTTAATAAAAAATTTTTAATTTTTATACGCGCTGCAACTGAACAGGGGGCAACTGCGGATGGAGGTGAAGTTGGGTATGACGGGGTTGCACTAACGTGTTGCCGCACAGAGATACAGCAGGCACTCGCTGACCACAACTCGAGCCAATCCCAAAGCGCAAAGATAAATAAAATACAAAAAAAAATAACAAAAAAAATGCGCCTCTATCTCGTCTCTCTTCTCTCCAGCCCCTTTCTCTGTGTGCGTATCTCTTTCAGGGTATCACTGCCCCCTCGCTGAGCCCGCTAAAGTTGCCAAGATGCCGTTGCAACCGCATATCACATGCAACGATCGGTGCCTTGTGGATACCCACTATATAAGGCAAGCCCAAAAACTTTCTAGTTAGAGTTAAGATGCGCTGGATACAGCTATACTTAGCAGATCATATTCACATCTTGAATGATCTCAACTAAACTAAAACAAATATATTAATTATAATATCACAAACCCCAAATAAATGTTAAATGGCTAACAGTGGCTCTTAATTAATTCGAATTAGTTAAGGTCACTTGCGTTTATCAGCTTATTTTGCACACTTTTAAATACAGGGTATAACGAGTATATCATTTTACATTACAAAGCCATAGCAGCTGAGTTTTTGAGTTTTTAGACTGGCTTTTTAGGCTCTGTGCGTGCATTTAGATTTTTCATTCTTGGAGACTTTCATTGTTGTTTTATTCTATAATTTTGTGGTTACCACTGCTTCCGTTCTGTAATCTTTCGTCTTATGGCATCTACTCAACAAATGAATGTTTGCAGTAGTGAATCAACATATCTGCATTGAAATATTGTATATGAGATATATGAGATATTGGCTTGCGCGGATAAAGATAAAGAATATAATAAAAATATCAGCAAAAAAACTTGGAATTGGTTTGAGCTTCTTTTGTTTGTTATCACAGTAGTACTTAACAAATATTTCTTGGGTTTTGCATTATGTTTTTAAATACCCCCAATTCAATTCCAATTGTGAATAAATATATATGTTTTTTAAATCCAAATGGAAAAACCTAGAAGTCGTTTAGGGTTATATCAATGCATATTCGTCCAC